TGCCTTCGCTATGACGTCCTGTCTGCGCCTTCTGAACATGAACCGCCACAATCGACTTGGAGAACAGCTGCAGTACAGTTGTAGAGTTCATGCTATCTCATGTCTCTACTCTAGATGACTACCGAGTGAACAAGATAACGCGCACAGTGACTGCTATGACCGTACAGAGGCCAATGCCCGGTGTGTATTATCCACACAAGTCATTACATACGTGCGGGCGGCAAACTACGTGTGATGATGGAAGCAGGCATGTAGCTCTACGCTTATGACTGTCGTGCTACCGAACGGTCATGCGCTACGAGGGCGGCTCCCTCCGCGTCACTAATCACCTCGCAGAATACTCGTTGCATCGCCCGTGCAAACCGTCCGCCCTGAATCAACACCACATTGACACTCCGCCCGCCCGCCTCGATCGCCCATATAAGCCGGACTCGTATATACTCGACCAGGTATCTCTCGGACCCCACCACGATCACCAGTAACATGTCTCAGAACGCACAAACTCCCGAAGCTACTACGCTCTTAGCACGTCTCGCCTGGCGACCTCGACGCAGCCGTCGGCCCCGTTCTTGAATACGAGGCCGAGCTACGCCGGCCGTTCGCCCAGGATCGCTCAAATCGACTTCTCTCTGATCCCTACGCTGCTCTAGTCGATGTTTTTGCCTGCGATTCGGCTGTACTGCGCACCCAATCGCGCCCCACGACCGACGACAAGGTACACATCTTCCTGCTGAAGCCCTCCAAACGACGTACATCTAGGACGCCGGCTCTTGCGACAAGCCTTGCAGAGTTTCAACGCAACTGGTCTATCTTCACGGAAGGCACACTATCTCAGCTCGACTGGTCGAACATCGTAGTCGCCGGCGGTGCTGTACAGGCATGTCTGGCCCCTCTTCCGGAAGGCGCGGATGACAGTAAGGGGCTTAGGAAGCGGTTTGATGAGATCGAGGCACATGCAGGCAGCAATGTTGATCTCTTTACGGACTGGATCAGGCATAGGTGAGATCTCTCCCTCTTTCAACAAGATATAGTCGGGCTGATGAGCACTGTCTAGGCGGAGAAGAGGATCGAGGACATCTTCGAAGCCATACGCGATGCAGTTCCTTGTTACGTGACGGCTGTCCGCACGGCGCACGCAAAGTCTATCCATTATAAGACATCTATTTGCACTACTGTACTTGTATCCTTTAGACTGATATGTAACGCTTGCAGCTCAGGATCCCTATCGACAGATCTAGATCGCCCCTCGCCTGTCCGAGTCTCCTGCAGAAGTCCTTGCGGGATTTGACGTAGACTGATGTGCCGTCGCGTATACACCTAGCAAGATCTTGGTGTTTCCGCGTGCCTCAGCTGCACACATTCGCCAGGCCAACCTTGCGGATCCGCCACCGAGGAGCCCCAGCTACGAAGTACGCCTCGCAAAGTACGCCACTCGTGGGTTCGAGATACATGTACCGGGTCTTCGCGGTAACATTGGATCCCAGATCTTCGAGCGTAGCATCAGTACGTTCGCTCTTTCCCACCTTTTCAAACATGTATTGACACGGGTTCAAGGTCTTGCACGTCTCCTTGTCCTTGAGAAGTTACACGAAGCACCTTCCCGCGCGGATACGTTGGCATTCGCGCCGAGCTACGAGGCCGCCCTGGCAACAACGCGTCAAGGTACAGTATGGATGACGCCGGTCACTACAAGAACGACTTCAAGTCCAAAGGTACGTGTGTATCGAGAGCGCTGAGCGAGAGATGCTCAAAAAAGTCACAGGTCCATTCGCTGACCTCGACGTCGAGCTGAGTGGCCACGACCGCGGCGCATTGCGGATACCGTAGGATCTACATGGCATGCGGCTTGGATCGAGAAGTTGATCTGGGAGAGGGATACGGGAATAAAAACTGTGCGCTCTCTTTGACTGTAAGATGCATCGCACAGCGCCGTTCAACCCGCGCAACAAGAATCACCGGCTCCATCGTCACCCAGCGTTCTTTGGCACCGTGCAAGAGAGCATGGAGGGCTGTTGTTGTGCATGTCCCATGCCCGAGAACGCCGAGGAAGAGAAAGAATAGAAGGACGAGGACGAAAGAGGCTCGTATGTTCGCGGCTGCATCTCGTACGTATCTTCCTCTCCTCACCCGTCCTTCATCTCGAGATGATTGACATGATCTTATTTGTAGATTCATCAAAGACGGTCCAAAACGTCAGTCTGTGAGTCTGTGACGGGCTCTTCAAGTTTCCGGCCACTCGACGCACACGAATGGACAGCTCAAACATACGTCCGCGCGCAAGAGCGGCTTGTTGAAGCAGTAGCAGCCAACGACGTTCAAACGCTCAAAGCTCTCATCGCTGATATACAACACCGCAAGCAGGCTGTAGACACAGATGCTCGTAATATGCAACTAGAGGCAAAGAAGGCTGGAGATAGCGGAGATGAGCCGCTTGATCTTGACGCGAGGGATGGCACAGGTCGTACGCCCTTGCATGTCGCGATTCTGGCTGGAGCATGTGGCTCTGCGCTCGAGTTCATTGAGGTCTGTTTCATTTCACATGTCGTCTAAGCCGCTACTAATGTATACTATCTCTAGGCTGGCGCGCGCGTGTCGTCGGCGGGCAGTGCAGGCGGGGATGGACGACGTTGTACAGGCACTACTCGCTCGGAGCGAGCGGAATCGTGCCGAGGCTGAAGCGAAGGGTACCCCCTGGAAGCGAAAGGCATGACGGTCGATCACCCTGAGGGCGAGAAGGAGGAGGGCAGTGAGGGAGAGTCCACGGAAGAGGAAGAAGAATGGGAGCAGGTCAAACGCCCCGACGCGCGCCCTACAACTTCGCCGTCAGATTCGGCTGATGCGCTCGAGGACCCACCCGCACATGCGTCCGACATTCTTGATCTCACTACGCCAGATTGGGACTTCGGCTTCTCAGGTCTTACCTCTTATCTACGCCATCCTCGCCGGTTCGCCATTTTCCGTCAACGTACTCCTCGACGCGGGCGCACCGGCCGACAAGCCTACGAAGAACGGACTGCATCCGCTTGCTGCGACGATCTTCATGCGTGACAGCGCTGCCGCTCGGGCACATGTTACAAAGGGCGCGAGCTGCACCGTCGCCGATGGGAACTGGCTCTTCATACTCCATCTGATTGTCGCAACGCCTAGCCGCTCAGATCTCAGATGTCGTACGCGCGCTACTCGAGTCCGACACAAAAGGCGCACGTGCTGCGCAGGACGCTCCAGCTTGGCAAAGCAGCTACAGCGTGCGCCCGTTCGGAACTGCGGTGGCGAAAGGGGATTACACCGCCGTTGCAGCACTCGCGGTCTTCGGCGCCAAGGTGGGGTCGAGCGAGGAGGATGTTTCGCGTGCCGCCGATACGCGAAAGCAGCGCGCTTGGATCGGCAACGCCAAAAACTGGCGTGAGTGGGCACACCATCCGCTCGAGGCCGCGCTAGCGCGAGGTGAAGGGATTGAGAGCATCAAAATGCTGCTCTCATATTGGTAAAGGCTGATGCGCTGATGCGCCGCCACGAGCGGCCATCGAGCTAGGATCCGAGAATGATGACGCTGCTATCAAGCACACGACGGAGGAGCCGAAGGATACCGCACCGGCATCATTAACATCAAGCTCAAGCGCCGATCCTTCGCAAGCGACGAGCTGGACCGAGTGGCACGCCGCCATGATTGACATCGTCAAGTCTCTACGGTTACCGGAAAGCTACTCTGTACCAAAGATGCTTCGACTTGGAGGCTCTCGGCGACTCAGATGACGGTCCGTTGGAGAAGCATGGTCTTCCCGAGCTCGAGCGCATACGCGACCATTACGTGGCACTCGAAGCCTTACTCCGCGAGCAACCTGGCGTCTCACCCGCCCCGAGAGGAGAAGGTAGAAGGAAAAGAAGGAAGACAATGAGTATATCGAGTATCGTCGCTTGGATAGGTTTACGGCCTATGACGCCGTTCTGTCACATCTGCGCGCGCTATGACAAACTGTACGAAATCGCGTGGACGGGAGACGACAAGACGAATAAGGCGCTTTGCGTATCTGGCGAAGAGCCGATACAGATCGCTGTCACGGCCACTAACGCGCATCCGCATGGAGACGTCTGGCCTAGAAGTCAAGGCGAGTTCACACCCGTCGCGTAGCTTCAACAGACGCTGACCAGTTCATAGAGGCTACACTGCACCTCTCATGGTCGCTATTGAGCGCAGACATTGGGACACAGCGAAGCTGATCCTCAGTATCGCGGAAGCTCAGCACAAGCCCGACATCTCTCGAACTTCTGCCACCGAGGAAAAGTTCTCGGACGACGAGTCCGAGTCCGAGTCCATGGATATCGACGAAGATGGCCCTGAGCCGAAGCCCATCGACTTCGCTGACATAGCAGCGCGTCCGTCCAAGAATCCAGTGCCGCGCTTCACCATCGGACTCGCTTGACATCGAAGGCGCTTGGCCAGCCGACGGCAGGCTTGCGACCGCTACAGCTCTGCAACGGACTGTATACGACGGCGATCTCAAGAGTCAATACCTTCAAACACATACTTGAGCTCTATTAGAACGCGAAGGTTGACCCTGTGGACAAGTGGGCGACGTTCGACGTGATCCTTCGCCAGGACCGCTCCGAGTTTCTTGACGCGTACATCCGCGAGACTGGGGCCGGCGTCTATTCCTCCCGCACTGGCCTGCCAACGATCGAGCTCGATACAGACGGTGCCGACGGTGAGGCGGTAGACAAAAAGAAGAAACACATATACCTTGGTCTAGACTGGCATGGTTTGAAGCGCTCAGAGCGAGGCAAGTCCAACGGCACGCGGGCCGCAGACTACGGTTCACTCAAGATTCTGGAGTACCTCTCGAGCTCTCGTCCGCTCGCTGCGTAGCGCGCTTTCGTAACTGCACATCCCGAGAAGAAGAACACGCGGAACATCGTGAAGTGCGCGTCAGAGTCGGAGCAGCCTCGCGTGCTTGGCTTGGATGGTGCCTCAAAACGTTCTTGTCGAGAGCGTGCTGCTCAACGCGATCTGTGCGAGTCGACTGGACGCGCACTGTTCGAGCTTGAGCCGGATCTGTTGGGTGATTGTTCGCATGCGCGATAAGCGTCTACTCCCGTTCAGTGTACGCAATATACTGATCACACCGCTTAGAGGCAAGTTCAGTGGTTTGATGCCACCACTCGCTGCTGTACGAGCCGGCGTCAAACCAGAACTGTCCAACTTCTTGAATGAACGAGGTGCAGAACCAGCGGATGGTGAAGCTTGAGCTACAGCCCTCAGCTCGACAAAGCTCGCCGCCGCGATATTAACAGGTGCATCACAAGCGAAGACACTATGATGCGCCAGGTCGCGTACTTGCTCGCGACCGACTTCTTCGCTGTGTACGACGCCCCGGAGAAGTCCATACTCCGCCCATGGGCCGGCCTGCCAAAGCCGCTCTGTACGAGCCTCTCACGCTCGTGAGACGAGCGCCAAACACACCGACGCCGAGCTTGCTGCGGTATCAGTCGGCTGAGGAGTTGGGTTCCTGGTGTGGGCGCAGACGACAAGAAGGCTACTTGCAGAGGAGAGCCATGGACAGTAACAGTTGATCGTCGTATACCAAGTCCGTATACGTTTTCATATTCGGACGCCCCCAACTGACCCCTTCTACTCCTGGTCGTCGTACAGCAAGCGGCCTTTTCCTATCTCGTGCGCGCGCTGTTCATTCCGCATGGTCAATTCACTGCACGAACTTGAGATGCATGGCTCAGCGTCAGCCCAGGCCCGGCATCTCTCGATCGAGTTCATGCGAACCATCGTCGACTGGGAGCAGAAGGCGGCGGCAGGGCAGAAAGCCGGAGCTGGAAACGAAGGTCGCGGATTCAAAGGTAGAGTTGGTGGAGAGAGAAGGGAACCGAGAGGAAGGGAACCGAGAGGAAGGAGAGGGAGAATGAGCTGAAGGCGGTCGAGCAATGGCTGGCGATCTTTTGGCGCTCGCCACTTCCCTGCCGCGAGAATGTGGTCACCTATCTCGTCCAGCTCGCCGTCGGGAGTGCAGCATGATAGCTCATCGCGCACCTCTATCGCGCAAATCGTCGGGACGAAAGAGTGGAAGGATGTCACCGTAAATTTGTACTTCCTCGGGAGGATGCTTGAACAGGTCTGTACATGTGCTCCTGAATGAGCTCCGTATACTGACAATGCGCGCTCTCTAGGCCGACCTCACGACCTTGAGTCCGGATGACTTCGCCGCCGAACTGCTCTGGGAGGACCATCAGGTTTAAGCGCAGGAGCAGGAGAAGCTTCGGCAATGGGATATCCCCACGAATGTGCACCCAATGACAATAACCCGAGCTGCTACCTGAGAGCGCATGGCGAACGAAAAGCTAGTCGCAGGAGCGGGGGGCGTGGCTCGAACGTTTACCGAACTTGCACGACGACGCTGACATCTAGGGCGATCTCGTTGTCTGGCCTAAGAGTGTCTTTCACGCCATCAACAAGCCGTACATGCCTTCCGTCTACCCTAGCAACCCCGGCGACTACAGCACGAACTCAAGCAAAGTGGCTATCGCAGCCATCATGGGGCCGCATGGATCATCAGCCGCCTCACGCACATCACTCGCAAGCATCAACTCTCTACAACGCCTGTCAGACTTTGCTTGGGTAGATCCACCAGGTGCCCAATACAGAGATCGCGGAGGTCTTCCTCAAGTTACTTACGCGAGCAGGCGCGTGAAGCGGGTTTGGAGATGATCAACAGCACAAACCTCATGTACCTCTCGATAACGCAGAAGGCCGAGTTCTGGACACTTCAAAGTCAAAGGGATCTCCAACGCAGCGCTTAGACATCCAGCAGAGGCGAACGATGAATTCTCGGCTGCGCTGACCCCCGAGTTGAGCCTGCCAAAGGCGCGGCAAGGATGGGCTGAATTCCACGACGACGCGTTCAGCGAAACAAAATGCGGAGCAGCGGTGGCGGCGACGCGGTTATGCAGGTTGCGGGAACAAATGGAATGCTCCTCGGCCATCGGGCGTCGACTCGTCGCTGTTGCACAAGCCAAGGGCGGCGGAAAACCAGCAACGACAAGTTTCGAACAGCATCGATGAGATTGTCCGGATTTCGAAGGTTGCACCCCCGCTGCTCATCCTCGGTATAGATTCTATGGTCGAGCAGGCGAGTACCGTCTCGTACATATGCTGCTTCAAGATATTCTGCAGGCTCGTTACGGCCCCACCAACAGCCTATCGGACATCCACTGATTCATCATGTAGACCTACGCAATCAGAACCAGCCGGACGCCGGACGAGCCTGGTACCCCCCTGGTACTCACCCGGAGACCTTAAGCGTCATGCAACGCGCATGATACTATTTTCACCGTCGTCTATCACGTACATCGTTCTAACTTCTCACCTTCACCTGGACAGTCGTTTGATATAGTTGAAGAGCGAACTTGAGGTCGCCGTCTCCTCGATAAGAATCGGCAACCTACCTGAAACGAGTACATCCGGCGACTTCAACTCTAGGGGGATCGATACGATAAGGCTCTACACGTTCGCCCCGGGCGTACAGAGCCTCGAGCTTCAACTCAACCATTCGTCACACAGAGCTTGGGTACAGCGAAATGGATGTTATCGAGATACCTGGCCAGTATATAGAGGTGCGCTAGATAACAGGTTCTCGAGGGTTGCGTACAAGGGATGGTACTCTGTATGACCAGTGGCCAGACATACGGTGGTCTTGTCGGCGCCCAGGATAATCGGCACGAGCATCGCACCATGTGTGGCCGGATCGTTCGCGACAGTAGTCTGGACAAGGGCGATGAGTCTAAGACGTCATGTTCGGCACCGATTTATGGACGTACTGATTCATTTGAAGCCCATTGTCCGGACATAAAGTCTGAATACCGGCGCTTTCCATTTACGAACTCCTCGTAAGCAACACAGTCGAGAACTTGTGACGCATCCAGGAAGGTGCATTTAGGCGCAGAGGGCCTGTGTAATAGACAGAGAATGTTGTCCACCCGCCTTCGCCGTATGGGATTGAGTCAATAGCCTCAAGCATATCACGCACACCGTGAAAGATAGAAGTCGTATCTGCGCTGCTCGCGATAGCCTGTGCCTTCCAGATGCGGAATACGCGGTTGACATCCTCTTCCGAGCATTGAATCTTCTCGAACAACAACTCTGCCATTTCAAAGCTCGGCCAGTTGTGGAAGGGATCGTACGGATTATCTGGAAGAGAAAGTTGAGCGGGCGGATCAGCATCCTCGTCTAAGAAGTTTCCCTGCTCGTCGCAGGGCCGTGCTGCTTTGAGATCAGCTACGTAAATAAGTTGAAGGGTAAAGGAGCGTACCGGTAAGGTGTGCATGCGGATATCTCTGTGCATTCGGCTCACTAGGCTTGGGAAAGCGGTGTTGCCGGATATGTAGGGCTCGAGCACAAAGAGTACTGAAGGAGGTATGACATTGATAACACCAAAAGGCCATTACAGTGCTGAAGTAGAAAACAGATTATAGCGAATATGAAAAAAGGGGGCGGGTTGGTAGGAGAATGGACGTGCAAGACAGGAACGGGTTGACGCGGGTTACATCGGAGACAAGTCTCGAACGCGAGGAGCAACAGTCAACAGCCTTTCCTCCCCCACCCACCACTCCCGACGACTACCACATACTCTCTGGACCTGACATGTCTAGTCGCGGTCGCGGGACTGCACGCAGCCGTAGCCAAAGCTCGTTGAACACATCAAATCGAGGGCGCGGAAGGGGCAGAGGCCGTGGAAGTCGCGGGACGGCCACCACTACCGGCACCACGCCGAGGAAGGCGACAGCGCGCAAGAAGGACAGCAAGATTGCTAAAGAGGGTGTCTTTGAGGATGATGCCTTCCTCGCGACCGACGACGAGGACGACGAACCTCAGCGCAAGCGGCCGCGTACCGAGGCAGGGCCTTCTTTGACCTTGTACGCACTACACAGCCTTGAGCGGTTGCCTCACTAAATATTGGTATATCAGCAGTGACGATGACGATGGTGACGACTCTGACTTACTGACCATGATATCTGAAGGCCGGGTTACTCGCTCGCAGGACGTAGGCTTGGGCAACAAGCAAGCTGCCGTTGAACCCACCGCACGCAAGGTCGCACGCACTATGAGTAAGCGCGAGGAGAAGGAACAAGACCGTCTCGAGGCCGAGGCCGCGAAGGAGAGAAGGTGGAAAACGGGCTGCGGCGCCGCCAGCGGGCGGTGCCAGCGGGCGGTTTTGAATCCCAAGTAAGCGCCGAAAGCGGTACTGGATGGGGATGCGCGGCGCTGATGCGTTCACACAGGCCGGGGAACCCGACCGTCCTTCAACCCCGACCCTCACACAGGCGCAGAAAAGAGCGCAAAAGAAGATAGACTCCATCAACTTTGCTCGGGGCACCGTAAATGCTGGGTTGGCAGCTACGGACCCTCTCGGTGCGCCGGCTGCTCCTGCCCGCTCGTCATCAACGAAGAGGTGCGCGATGTCGGCGAAGTGCGCCGATTTTAGTGTTATACTTACTCGTTGCAGCAGGTTTGCAACCGAGAAGTCCCGCGTACTCGCAAAATCCTCTCGAGCCCTCGCTGATGACTGGGAGGAGAGAGCGTCAACGTCAACGGCGAACACGCGTGTGCCTCGTGCCCGCGCAGATGTTGGTTCTCAGGAAGAAGATGATGTCTTCTTGGCCGAGCGCGATATTCCCTCCGACGAGGACGATGATGATTACGAAGACGGCGCTGAAGAAGAGGGTTCCTCGGAACATGATGAGGGTGACCGCGGCCATCGGGTTGTACGCCGCCGTGCTGTTGGAGGGTTCGACGACGCGGATGTCGTTGTGCCGAAGCGAGGTGTCCGTCGCGAGTTCAAGGCTCATCAGCAGGTATGTAGCCTATTTATGGACATGCTGAACGTTGCTGATGAGTGCTCTAGGTTGCGTTCGAAGTCGTGAAGTCGGAGGACGAGGACGAAGAGAAGGACGATGGCAATGCCGCCGCCGGGGCAAGGGCGAAGAGAAAGTTACCACCTCGCGCGGCTACGAGAGCCTTCCAAAGTGGATGCCCAAGCATACCATGAAGGAAAGGGTCGAAACGTCTCTCGCTGACTGGAATGGCCGCCAACCCGTCCCGGTTAAACCCTCGACGAAGAGCGCCGGTGCGACCGAGGCTCTGGGCCCGATGCTTACGTTCATTGTCCACGAGATTCGATCGAAAAGCACGTACGTCGCGGCTCGCACCCAGTCAGACTCTATCTACAGCATAGTGAGTTCTCGGTGTATACCCTGTATTATATTCATACTGATACTGCTCTTTAGGGCAAGCAAGGTCTTGTCAACTATCGCAAGGATTTTCTCAAGTGCGGGATTGCTGTCGTCGATGACGCCGTCTATGCGCACTCCGAAGACCCGACTATCATTGAGTCGTATGTAGAAGATGCTCTCTACGGTTCGAAGTTCGCTACGTACGGTAAACCCGATGCGGTGGTATGTGCTGTTCTGCGTCCATTTAACTGCAGCTTATCTGATCCACATCCTCAGCACCCGACAGAATCAATTATGTCCCCATTTGTACTGGAGGTCTTCGCCCGTGCACATCTCGCACGCATCAGAGGTTCTGTTCACGCCAAAACCTTCAACAAGGAGCCAGCCATAGGTGCCATCAAGCTCTCTGTATTGGCTGTACGTATGTCCCTGTATCGGTACCAGCTGAGGCTCACACGATTTACTGCAGGTTCAAAAGGCCTTCGAGTTGTGGGCTAGTGGCAGTCGGGGCGATGAAGACGATGAGATTTGAAGGTGTTCACCGAGGGATACCGACACACGGTGAGCTATTTGCATTGGTTGATACGTTCATCGCATCGCTCACGCCCTCCTCAGCCGGATGAACTCAAATGCTTCAATCCCAAGAAGAGTCCTGTATCGATGGTGAAAGGACTGAGTCGAGGCCTGAGGAGGAGAGGTCCGGGGGATTCGTACTTAAGCTGCCTGCCTGTATCGTAGAATCCCCAGCTCTTGCAATCGCACGACTTCGACACTTCTCACTGCTCGGAATCTAGCCCAACAAGACTCTCGCGTGTTTCCCGAACCTGAGATATCATGAGGTCCGAGTTCAGACCTGCGCACTAGACGCGTATTTGAGGGCATTCATGAAATATCAGGACAACAAACACTTTCAATCCATCACTGTCGCTTACTATGAGAGATCCGTGGAACTGACAAAAGATCACCGCGCGGCAGCGATTGATCGATGAGCGAAGGGGATCGTGTGGGTGGTGTTGGAGGTGTGATCCTTACAATGGCGCACGGAACGGCTTCGCCACACCAGGCTGTATCGCAGACTAACAAAGAGGAAGTGCTCGATGCCTGCACATGGGCGTGTTCACGCGCGCGTGGTGGAAGATGTTTTGCCTTTAGGGTGTGATAATTAGCCCCTGCAGTAGCTGTTAGCCTTGAGCTCGCCTCGCCACGCGTTGAGCGCAAACAAACTTCTGCACCTAGAACAAAAGCATGCTCATGATTGATAAAAGCTGCTGGTTTGAGTGTTCGCTTTGGGGCCTCGTTGCCCTCATGGTGCGCGCCAAGTCTCGTTCGTAGTCGAGCGGGTACTGCAGCTTTTGAAGCACCATCCCGAAGGAAGAGCAATAGCTCAGCAGCTTCCTTTTCTGCTAACACAGCTTCTCGTTCACTCCTCCCCAGATCTGGCTGATTGAGCGATGATGCGTGCGGAGTCGTGAGGGAGTGTGCTGCACGCGCACTCGAGGACATTGGATGTTTGGCCCGTCCGTCGTATCGGGGATTATCGATTGTAGCGACCTGAGAGTCCTGTTCTGAGCAGCATGAAGTAGCACGTTTGCGTTTCTTGACTGTCCCGCGTGATGAACTGGGAGGTTCCTTCCGTTCCAGCTCGAGATTTCTCATGTCGGTCTTCATAAGCGTCTGGTCGCCAGATAGTTTGGCAATAGATGGGTGGCTGTCGCCATGGTGAACTCGTTGAGTGAACGCCGAAGTGCCACAATGGCGTGAGCCTCTGGACGGTGGCGCAAGTTGAGTATCACCGATTTCCATTTGTACATCACGCGCAGAGTCGAACGTCAGCCTGGAAAGCATATGAGTGTATAGGTTTCGCGTGACGCCATTCTCCACAGCGCCCGAAGAAGATCCGCTCAGGACTGCAGTCATCGCGACGTCCAAGGGAATGGACTTAGATGACATCGAAGAACGCGATTGAATTGCATCAAAGGTATCAAGAGCGACGACGCCCGCTGTGACCGCCGGGAGAGGGTAGGCATGTGAATGAAGGGTCGATGGAGGACAGGGAGCAGCCGTTGCTGGAGCAGTAGAAACCTCAAGTTGTTCCAAGGTCAGATGGACAACGTTATGTTTGACCTTGTACACCGCATACTGCGGCTGAGCTCGCACGTTCCTTGCCATCTGCGGATGAACTTCCGTCAGTCTCCGATCATCTTAGAGACTAGAATGGCAACCGATACGACATCATGCAACATAGAGCTCTATTGCATAGGAGCGTTGGCGAGTCTTTTCTACTCACTTGTTGGTGCGCGATGTGGGTGCGCAACCTTATTTTGAGCTCCTCTCGCTCGTGTCGTTCTGCTGGTGAAAGGTAATCCGGGACCGTCGGGACCGCACTATGATCCAATCCAGATCGAGCGGAGTCTCCCGCAGAGTGCGGCTCGTTAATAGCCTGTTCGTGAGAGTCTGAAGCATTTGACGTGCTGGTCATGGTGGTAAGCGATGAGTGTGGAAGTCCTCACATGTCGATCACTGGCGCGCTGGCGGCCTCTCTGTGCTGAGTCGCTCGAAGCACCTCTTCAAACAAAGGGTAGGAGCGATGATTTGTACGTGTGTAGTACTTGCACAATGCCCTGCTCTCCGGGTGGTTGTATGGACCAATTTAGGGCAACCGTTAGCTGATGCAGTCGCCAGCTGTGTTCGAAGCCTGGTCGGATTGTCCTCGCAAGACGTCATAACGGATAACAATTGCACGGATTATTACATCGGTCTATGATTGAAGCGCCATGGAGTGTAGATGGCTACACAATGTAGTACACGTGTTGGGGGTGAGCAAACAGGCGGAGTCAGTCTCGACAAGAATCGCTGGCAGCGACGACGGGCCGGATCGGGCCGGGGCAACGTAGACTGTGTCGGGCGGCCGCGCCTGCACAATTGCACAAGCCAGTTCTCAGTCCTGGACGCATACTCCTCAATCCACTCTTCACACCCTGTTACTTAGACAAGTGATCTGTGCTCTATGCATTACATCAAGCTCAATCAGACACAGGTGGCGCTTCTCGAGACAGCACTTTCTGGATCGACACCTGCGTACTAGCCTTCGTATCTCGCATCAACTCAGTGTTGCCGAAGCTCAGGGGGCCACATCTGCGAATGGCTGGGACATAGCAGTATGGATATGTCCAAGTCGTCATCCCTTCGGGAAGGAGGCTGCGAGCCTTCATGCAACGTCTCAGCACATCACTAATGGCTTCAGGCCTTGAGCGAAGTCCTGAATCTCAGCGGTCGAGAACCACCCCGTAGCTGAGGGTCTTATGCCTCGCTGGTCTGGAGAGCAATTCTGACCCTATCCTCCGGTCACGGATTCCACGTGTCGCGCCAGGTTGAGCAATTTTCCATGGGCGCTCACTCTACTTACGCCGTCATTCACCACTCACCTAGATGAATTGCACAGGGTCTTCGCACACCGACAGGTGTGTAATACCTGCTCTGGAATCGTTTTATTAGCTGATCAATTTGGGTGTTGTTCTCTCGTAGTACTCATTGAACTACGGAGGGGTGGAAGTGCGACTCGTAATTTGCCCCTATCAGAAGGTGCGTGTTCAGTTCTCACTACCCAACAAAAACATCCAGAACACAACCTATCTAGAAAACTGACGGGGAGCTGATTAGGTCGAATAAGATACCCATACGCGGAAATCGGTGGCGCCAACGATAACCTAACATTGCGACTCCGTTGTTACACACTACCCAGGACAAGCACGCTGACGCTGACCTCACCATCATCGGGATCATTCCTACAAAGCCACTTGTTCAATCACAGCTCTACTGCTATCAGCTATCACTCTTCTCCCAGTACTCGTCCGACCCGCCAACAATGATTGCATCCAATGGCACCCATGTGTCATCCGATTTGACGCCAGATCCCGCTCCTCATGGATTGCAGGGTCTCGCGCGGACGCGTTCCTCACCCTTATCTTCAGGTATGCTGCTAGAGTTGCTTGCCTTTCTCACTAAACATGGGATCACCCATCAACAACTCTATAGGCTTTGTGGATCCTTATCAGGCTATTCCAAGAAAGTGCCACCAAGTCAAGGCCGCCGTCAGTGATCATAGCCGATTTGCTACTACTCACAACTCAACACGACGTTTGGTAGTGCACCAATTGCGCCTCTGCGCGCAAGAAGTGTACAGAAGTCCGGCCTTGTCCTCGCTGCGTCAAGTACGAAATTGCGGATACGTGTGTGAGTAACATGCGGAAGCAGCGGAAGAAAGGCCTTAAAAGAGGTATGTGCGTCTCGTACATGGACTACCGATAGGTGGCGTCTCATTCAAGGATAGGCCCATACAAGAAGTCAATCATCGCAAGACGCAAGGCAACGAGCAATGATTTGCTAAGTCAGTCGGAGCTCTTTCATACGAGTCAGTGTTCATGTCTGTGTTGCGCACATGTCGTTTTCGAAACAAGCTAATGTTTTCATACAGGTGTTCAGCAATCTAGACCTGACCTCACAGAATACAGCAATGCTCTGTCGCAGGTTTTTTCGCCGGATGTAAATGTGCTCCCCTCCCATCGCTCCTTCCCGTCGCACGAAGTGTACCCCTATCATGATTGGTGCAGACCGCACCCGTTGTATTGCTTTCCACCAATGCCTTGGCCTGGCGATGTTCAGAGTCCGTGCCCTGCATACGAGCAACCACTGGAATATGCGTACTTTGGTCAGCCTTATCACGCAGCCTACACTCATTATTCATTGGGCCTCCATCCCTTCTGGCCTAACTCGCTCTCCCATGGGCCTTCATTGATGTTCGCCAAGCATGCACCCACTCCACCCTCAAACGATGTTGCGATCTCTCAACCGGATCAGGTCCCCCCCGAGTCTGTACACGAGAATGCGATGTAGATGTCGCAAACGAGTGAAAGGGCCTTGCAATCAGCAATCAGCATTGTCCCTCACTCTTGTACGTATGGAATCAGGTTAGTTCATCTCACTGCCTTCCCATCCCAAAGAAGTGCTCAGCTGTTGTCTCTGCAGATCAGACAATCGCGAGCGCACTATAATGCCACAGTGGGTCATTGTCGTGGGTCCCTCCCTATATGATATACTCTATGTAAAATCTTCCCGGGCAGATCCTTCAGAGATGCCGCGTCTCCTATCTTGAGTTGTCGTTAATACTAGCTGCGTCATTGAGCAATAAGTTATCGCTTCCCTCTCGCTGGTAGGTGTACTTGCGAAAGCCGAACACCATGATCTGGCGAGACATCGACACCGTCGGCATGGACATGCGTCGTGCGAAGCTGGCCCTTCCTCTGTATCGCAGTAAACTTGAGATCTACGGCAGTCGACACGTTGGCATTTGAGACGAGTTTCAAGACTGTTCACCGTAACTCGAGTCCCGGGGTGACACCTTGCTTGTGGGCGAGGAGCCTTCATGCAAAGTGGGACTGCAGACTGACATCTACTATGGATTTACGAGGCACTGCACGGTTGATTGAAGGTGGCCAGGCGTCGATTTCCGGTGCGAAGGGCGTTCGCGCTCGCGAGGGTCGCGTTTTTGGTCTCCAGGTCTCAACGCGTCTCGGCCCTGCGTGCGCGTGTCATGGCATTACTCTGCCCCCGACACTCGCCATCTCCTGTCTCGTCGAGCTTTACCGCCGGGGCGCTGGCCGCACTCGGCGGGGCCGTATTTAACGGTGTCATGGATGAACTCGAAAGGAACCCCAGACCGCCCTGATGAACCAGCACGAGATCAACGAGCTGTGGGAGGTACGTCGCCTCTACCCATATCTCTTTCACGTCTTTCTCAAGCTCATATTCTTTCAGCTCATACGAGACTCCGAGTATGAGGCTGATTTTTTCACGTCTGCTGTTCACGCGGGGATCGAAGGCCGCGGCGAAGGGCCGCTCGCCGTTGTCAGTGTGGATGCAAGGTATGTTCGTGTCTCGTGTGTGTTTTGTATTCTTCTGATGGACGGACTGCAGCTCGATGCTCCGCGTCGTACACAACTCGTGGAGCTGCGGGGACGGGACGAGGGCAGAGGCTCTCGCCTCGCCTGTCAATGGTCCAGCATCAATATACTGTCCAAAATGTGGTCCGACACCCAGCTCTTGAACGGTCTAGCGCTCTACATGGTCGCGTAGCTCACTCGGAAGGTGCTAGGTAACAATGAGTACCGGTTCAGGCTGAAGAAGGGCATGGAGAGGACCATGAGTCTGGATGTTGGGACGATGCCGCCCATATGCATACCCACTCAGCACAGCCCGCCAGACCCAGACGCATCAGTCTTGCCGCCCAAGTCACCACTCATCCTGCACATCCTCGACCGCCGCCTTGGTAAGTCTGGCACCCTCTCGCGTGTACTCCCAAAGCTCTTCCTCATAGCCATCTCAGGAGAAATGGCGAGCAAGCTTTCTTGCGTACATGCCGCAAGGTGTCTGGTATGGACTTGAGGAGGTTCGCGGATGAGTGGATCTACGGCAGTGGATTCCCGACCTTCACCGCGTCGTTCAACCGGAAGAAGATGGCGATGGAGATCCATATGCGGCAAGACTTCCCTGCGTACGAGGCTAGAGATGATGTGCACCGCGCGTTATCAAAACCCGTCGAGCTGTTCGAGGGACAGACGATCCGGATTCACGAGGCAGATGGGACGCCGTACGAGCATGTGCTGGATATCAGAGCGCACGAGAAGCGGCTTGACCAATACCAAGTATAAGCGTGTGCGAAGGAACACCCAGCGTTATCTCGCGAGGCAACAGGCGGCACAAGCGGCAGCTGAGGGCGACGTAGAAGCTGCGGAGGCTATGCGCATGGTCGACATCTCCTTCGGCCTGGACAACTGGAAGAAAGAGCGCGAGCGCCACCCGTGCAAGATACATAACTGGACAGAGGACGACGAGAACGTGATGAACGGCGCGACGTATGAGTGGATCCGGAAGGACGCCGACTTCGAGTGGATATTGAGCATCACTTTCAGCCAACCGGATCTCATGTGGGTGAGCCAGTTGCAGGGGAACCGCGATGTGGTGGTCCAGCTTAAGGCGGTTAATGCGCTTGCGAAGATGCCGGCGAATCCGATCATCAGTTCGACGTTGACGAAGACGGTGCTGGTCACGAATTATCTCTTTAGGATCAGGTGTGAGGCGCGGCGGCTTTGCTCACGGTGTGTAACCTCTCTCTACTTCTCTCACAGTATAATGACTGATGTACGGTAATAAGCAGTGCGCTATCCGGAAACACGAGTTCCTCGGCCTCTTCCACCTCTTCGGGCGCTTCCTCCGCTCCTGCTACAATCCCGAAGCACCGGACCAGGACCTCTTCGTTCATTCCTACGTGCCACGTCCAAACGACTTCTCCGACATCGCCGAGTACCTCATGCGTCGGGCACTCACCCGCACCATTGCACAAGTCCGCTCTGAGGACGGCAATACGCCCGCCTTCGTGCGCAAGTCCCTCGTCGACTTGCTCAAGTACAACGATAACATGGCGAATACGTACACGAATACTTTGTATATCTGCGCGATCATCTTAGTCTCGTGGGCGCATCTTTGTGTGTGAACGCACCAGAGAAGGGAGAGTTGGCGGGAGATGTCGCGCAGGCGTCTATGGAACCTGTAGACGCGAGGTTGTTGAAGGAGGCCATAGCCGAGGTCGACCGCTACAGGAACATGGACCGCTTGATCTCTTCACCTCACAACTCTATCACCGTCGCAGCCCTTGCGTTCAGGCTTGTGCTCAGCACGTCCAAGATCGTGCGATATGTCTTGGCCGTTATAGCGCACGACTCGAGCCGGGTCGTGAGGAGACGGGTCGCGCGGAACGCAGGGCGCAGTCTGGCGTTGTTCGTGGCCGTGGGGGAATCGAGGGGAGGAGGATCCAAGGGCGACGAGAGCAGACCGACATTAATTGAGGACGGCACTGGAGAGTGCGCGGATGAGAAGAGGAAGAAGGGCGAGGTTGATGCGCTCATCAAGGCGTTGCGCAAGGACAAGGATATCGGCAAGGGCGAAGCTCTACGCGAGATCTTCTACCGCTCGACCCGAACGCCGACGCTGAGATGCGCTGGAGCGTGCTCAAGCTCGCGGACGTGCTCATCAAAGGAAGCGAAGAGGCCCCGCCCAAACTTAGCTTTCATATCCCGCCGCCGACACCCGTTATCGTCCCCGCAGCCGTCTTCAGCCATTCCGACGGTCAAGGTCCCCGTGAAGAAGGCGGGTACGCCGGTGCCCCCCAGCATCAAGCTCAAACTGCCAACGCTGCCGCAAACGCTCGTTGACCCGGTGTCCGCTAGTCCATCGGTGTTGGCCAGTGCGCCTGTGGTAAGCTTGTTGGCGCCGAGAGTGCAGCTCAGCAAGTCACGGCCGGCGTCGTGTACGGCGTCTCCGGCGCCTACTCCGGCGCCTGTGCTGAAGAAGCCTACGGCGCTTCCGCCACCTTCGCCCGCCCCCGCGCCCGTGGTCTTGCTTTCCAAATCTCGTCCACCGAAGTCTGGTCCGAAAGCGCAGAATGGTGGGATGGGCATCGCCGATCTCAAGACAACGCGCTCAGTCCCACGGAAACTCACACAACATAAGGCCACCACTCTCTTCCGCCAGCTCGTCGACCCCGTGCGCGACCAAGCGCCTGGCTACTTCGATATCATCAAGCAGTCCATGGACCTTTCCAACATGCGCGCCAAGCTCGAAGCCGGCCTCTATCCCGACCGATTTGCATTCGAGGCCCACTTCAGTCTCATGATCCGCAACGCGAAGACGTACAATGTGCATGCGACGTTCGTAGCGAAAGAGACGAGCAATTTGGAGAGCTATCTTGAGACGCAGTGGTGTCGGATAAGCAAGATGACTGAGAAGGCTCAGCCGGCTGTTCAGGCTAGGGCGCAGAGGGAGAGGGCGATGCCGCCGCCACCTGTTCCTATGCCTATCAAGACGCCGGAGGAAGTCGTCAAACCACCTGTTGCGGCGCCTACCCCGCTCCTGCTCCAAGGCCGAGGGGAAGGCCACCGAATAATTGTACGCCTGACGCTGGGGCGCCGAGGCTAAAGTTAACGATCGGAGGTGTGGGCACGCCTATCGCTGGTCCTTCGTCGCCAGCGCTTCCGGCTACACCTACACCTGCGCCCAAACCCAAACCGCGCAAACCATCGAAACCCACACCCGCACCCCCATTACCGGATGATGGGACGCCCGATCTGTTCGAGGAGGTGCTCGCGATCGAGAAGGAGCGTGGTGCGCCCATAGCGTCGAGCTCGAGCTCGTCGTTGGCTCCGCCGGGCAAGATGGAGAAAGATACGACGGATGATGATGAGCCGAGTAAGAAGCGGGGTCAGAGCAGGAACTCGTCTGTGCGCGGGACATCCTCAATCAAGCTCAAGACGCAGGCGCAGGAGGGTAATGGCAAGGAGAGGGAATGGCCGAGTACGTACACCTACGACCAGCAGCGCCGGCCGAGCGCAAGCTGAGTTGCCCCGAGAAGAGGAGCCTGCAGGCGCTCATGAACACGATCGTCATGAAAGATTGGTACGTCTTCCATTCGTCCCCTACTGCTGATGATGTACTGATATATCAGCGTCGTACAGGTTGTTCGCCTTCCGCGAGAGCCCGTAGACCCGATAATGCTCGGTATCCCGACCTGCTTCGACGTCATCCCGCGCAAAGGCGCTCGCGACCTCCGCACGATCCGCACCGAACTCGAACAAGATAAACACGAGGGCGTCGCGACCGGAGAAGTTGACATGAACCTGATGGTCAACAACGCGATCCATTTCAACAACGCGGACTCGGAGGTCGGCATTCTGGCTATGCAGCTAAAGACCGCGGCAACGATCTGCTTGTGAGCCTGCGCTCTGGATCCGGCGGAGGAGCTGGCGCGAGTAAGAAGAGGAAGGAGGGAGGCGTGAATGGGGTCGGGTCGGCCAGTAATAAGAAGGCGATATTCGCCTGAGTGGACGGCGATGGGCTCGTGTATAGACTGAAAGTTTGGTCCTGTTTTGCTGTGCCATTAGCTATGCTGTCTTACCATGTACACGCACACTACGAGACGCAATATGCGTTTCAAATGTCGCCAATAGGCGTGTCCATGGTTCTCAGGCGCTCCTATGTTGGAAATTATGCATGGTATCTTGTGAGAGTCTTACTCGATGACACCCTGAGAGCGAACGTGCTCCCAGGATTGTCTGCCAATATACCGTATGCGAGCTCGGCCCAGACGATACACACATAAGTCTGCGGCTATCACCGGCCCGCATCCGAAGCGCTCTATGTAGGTGCTGTGACGCCGCTCATCAATAATCGCCATCGTCCCCTGGTGCCATCCGGTCCGACCCTACCCGTCTCCACGCAAAAGTCCTTGAGATTGCTACCTACAAAGGATATCAATCTCGCACCCAAAGACACCATAATAACAGGACATCCTACCCGAAGCCATCTTCCCTACCGTAGGTTGATCGACATCCATCACGTCTTCTCGGCCATGCGGCGGTGCTGTGAGGACGACCACGAGTCAAGACAGCATGGCATGGTTGCTGGGGCTCACTCACTTTGGCACGAAGACCCGCGAAACCCAGGCTCGGATGTGGGGTCGGCGGCGACCATCTCCCGGATAATGCGGATTGCGGTGAGCTCGGGCAACTGTGTAGATCAGTCTTTAGGCACCTTATAAGTGAGCCTTCCTGTGCCGTACAAGACGCACGGGGAGCGCAGCTTTTTGTGGGATGAGACTGTCAGCGGGAGAAGCAGATGTTGTAAGGAGATGTGGAGTGAGAGGATGATGTCCCAGTCTTGCAGGCTCAAACGTTCATACAAGGCGGATAAGAGAGGCACCCTGGTCACTGAGAGACGTATCATAGCCTTCTCAAGACGCAGGGCACACATTTCACTATACGTGCGGTCTGCGGGGATCTTAAATGCGATGCGGCGTCGAAAAAGCTATCACTTGAACGGCCAATTGAACAACTTCATCTGGCCAGATTCTGCCAGTGGTGAGGATCATGCCAGGCCTGATGCGAGTGAAAAGATGCCTTGTCCGGCGTAGAGGTATTAACCGAATGCCATCGGCATACTAAGCGTGGAGGCCCGCATTGAGCACTGAGTGAGCCTTGTGATTCGTGCAGAAGAAGCACAGCCGCCGATTCGTGGCATCGAGCAGTAAGTTCGTAGAACGAGAAGCTGTGGAGACACACGCATATCTCCGTACGCTCTTTCACGCAGTACTGGAGGATGGCACATGGGATGGTCATGGTGGTCAGCGGCAGGAGTTACTAACGGTTGACGCCGGACTGCGGCCGCCTGCGTGGGCGCGAGCGCGGCTATGTCATTGCTGAGGCGTCTTTTTCGCCCACCACCACTAGCAATGACCACGATACTAAGTTGAAGTTGGTTCTGTGTTGTACTTCTTGATGATCTGCTGGGCTCCTCCGCCTTCTCAAACTCGATCAAGATCACTCCCCAGCCGGCGACGACGAAGCGCCTTCGTTCAACTCACGGGTTCTGGCGAGACCTGAGCATGTGAACCGCGACGATGCCATCCGAACAGCCTGATATCTTCCGGCACTAGTAGCGAGCCTGAAGCAAGTTTCCTCAACGCGCACCCACAGTACTCGAGCAGGCAGCGACAGTCGGAAACGAGAGCGGCGCACGAACGGACGAACGAACTGGATGTCAGTACAAGACACATTGGACGGGATTGAAGAGGTGTTGTTGGGGCGTAGAAGACCTGAGGACGTATGCGTCGGAGGTTATAGGGAAGTTTGGAAGTCGGGCAAACAGCAGAACCTGGTACGAGATCATAGCTATAGCTCATGAAGACCACACTAACGAATCTTAGCAGGTCAGTTAACCGACGTCGTCATGTCTACCACTCGAACGGAGGTACCTTACTTGAAGTAGAGTTTACTTCCGGCGTTGTAGCCCTGTATCGGTGTCCATTCGGGTATACGACAGATAAAATACATATGTTTACAGAGCACAAGCAGGCAAGCTAGCGTGAACTTGAGAAGAAATTCTATGGCGTGAAAACATCTCGACCATTAGATAAAGCGCCGCTTTGTACAGCGAGAACCCATCAACGCTTGAATAAGATCAACTACACCACTGTCTGAACGTCTTCAACAACCCTCTGGCAAGACCCGTGAGGCTGCGTTGAACGCTCTGCATCGGCGGACCTGCTGGACGCATCAGGAGATATGCGAGGCATGCGAGGACAACAAGCTAGGTACCTGGTGTTTGTGGTAAAGTCGTGCACCTCCTCCGCGTCCTTCTCAGAGACAGTCGCGCTCATGCCACCAACGCGCTCTGGGCCCTGTTCTTGCATGCGAGTGGTTGATGAGGTTTGGATGCGAGTTAGCTCATCGACGTCAGCTAAGCCCTAGTGTATGTGCAAGCCAGCATACTCAAGATCCAACGACATTGAGTTCTGCGGAGGTTGTTCGCCGAACTCGATGTCGCCCAGCGGTGAACGCTCGCGAAGAGTAGGCTTCCAGCCGAACCAGCCACAGGCGGTGCAGATGATGCGCCAGCACAAAGCGCGGGCCTCCGAGGTAACGCCGAAGAGACCAAAGATGACGAAGGCGAGGACAGGCGAGGACCAATTGGTGAAGTAGAACTCGGCTACATTGAGAGTGCCACCGGACACCAGTGCCGCATAGCTGACGCTCTCCAGTTGCCAGTCCGTGTGATCGTAGGTCCATCCAAAGTAGAATGGGATGGGACCAGAAGCTAGACCGTTGTTCACCGCCAAGACGATGTTCGTGATGCCTATAGGCAGGGTAAGCAAAATGTCGATGCTGGAAAGGGCGAGGATGCGGAGGTAGTTCGTGCGGGAGACCGAGTTATTGCTCTGTAAGAAGTGGTTGACCTCCCGGTTGTGGCGATAGAACATGCGAGCGACATGGGCTCAGGAAGCAGACATGAGCATTGCGAGGTTAAGGAGTAATCGTTCGGTCTGACGCACGGTAATAGACAATGATGGATATCAAGGGAGGGAGGACGTTCCACCGTTCCACGATTGGGCGAACAACATGCTAAGGATTGAGGTGTCGAGAAAGCCTGTGCAGCCAAAGCCCTCGATGACCTCGAATCGAAGCACCTGAACTACATGGTCTTGAAGAGAGATGAGCATGCACGATGGATAGAGTCCAGACATACTCACAGAGAGGTCCTGTGACAAGAAGAGGGATTCCCAATCCAAGGGTCACTGTACTGCGAAAGCTCGGCGTTTCTGATGTTGCAATGTCAGTGAGTACAGAGGGATAGGTCACGCGCCACGACTTACCGCCGCCGTGATATGAGGTGCAACGGATCGCAGGCTAGTGATAAGGTAGAGTCGGCGGGTGATGATCAGGGTAGCCATGGCTTTGACAACCGAAGTAAGCAGTTGCACGTGCGTAACTAGCAGAGTCAATAGTCCAATGAGTATGTGCGGAAACAGTCCTATCATGATAAATGTACTGACCGATGTCGCAGTAGACGTAAAGCTTGATGTCTGCGTTATCAGACCAGATAACGGAATTGATTCCGCCCGTCAGGTTCTCGAAGAAGAGCCAGAAACGTGAGAAAGCGACGCCGAGGTTCCAGCTTTGACGGAGGAAGCTGGTCAGTAGTACGAGGAGCAGCATTGCTGCTGCAAGGAAGCAAGAGATAGGGTAGAGGGGATACTATGTCGGGTCGAGGGCGGCCAGAGCACTCGACTTCGAGGTGTTGATGGTCTCGGCGAGTCAGATGTCTGGGCATATATACTTGTGCTGCGAATAGCGTCAGTAAACGTATTTGATCGCCTCCCGACCATCACACGCGACTTTGAAACTTGAGGCAGACGCGACAAGGAGCGGGAACATCGCTTCGTTGCGACAATGTTTGAACGGATGTTCGCAAGAGAGGGATTGATACGAGGAACTTGTTGCCTTTCAGTATCAAGGAGCCCGGTGATAAACGCGGGTACGAACCTAGATGTAATTCCAAGAAGTTGCATTCCGCCTGCTGCGCTAGCTTATACAACAGCGCAGCCTGAAAAGCGACGACGCTCTGGTGGAGGAAAGATGAACAAGTTAAGAACGATTTTCTGTGATGCGCATGCACGTCAGTTTAGTCGAAGATAACAGGTACGCAGATGCACACCTTCAGCAGCATGACACTACTCTCACGCTCTCCCCGAATCTTTTGCATTTTGATGGCCACAACTGAGCAGATGCCATCGAAACGTATGGTCGAAGCTACCAGGCGCAAGTCAGATGGTGGTTTCGAAGACACGAGAGGAAGGGTGCGTACCAGCGTGCGTAGGGTTACCTTCGGCACGGAATCAAGCGAGAGCATCCGCGAGACACCACTCGTACAAGCCGGGGATGAGTCTTGCTCCGCTGCTGCTAGATTCGGTATTGGTTGACCTACAAACTACAGCCGTCAGAGCCGCGGATGTCTAAGCGGCGCACGAGAGAAGACTCTCGTCTGGCGATGGCTGCTTAAGCTTAAGTCTCGATTCGTCGGGTGGAGAATCTGGAAAGCGTGAGTGTAACAACGTCGACATCTTGTTCACCGAGGTTAGTAAGTCGATGGAGAACAAGGTGCAGTGAGATGCGTAAACGTGGAGCCGTATCGTCGTGACAAAGGCCGAAGCGTGAAACACCAACAGCATCACCATCATGGTACGTGCAACGATCGTGAGCCCAACTGACGACCGGGAGAACAGAAACGCGAGTCTTCGTAGCCGTGGCAGTCACACGAAGAGAGTAGTATGCATATTTGAGAGATAGGGAGCATAATCATTGCTGCGAGGCGTAGTGGTGGTGACGGCCAAGAGACGATTGGCGGCCATGGAAGCAGGCCGGGCGTCTCACGGCACGCGCGTGCTGCCGACTCGGTTCTATGTGGCCTTACCTAGTCTTCTCACTTACTTGCTCTCTACAATCGGACAGTGCTAGTGGCATCAGCGTAAATAGTTCGAACCTGCTGAGTGCTGCGACTGGAAGCATCGAGGGAACCAGGCCCAAAGCCCATCCTTTCTGCGCGCGAGCTTGTCTTCACCCCACCATCACCAACCTGGCGCCGTCTTCTGCTATGATATATGAGCACTTACTCCCTTTCTACACACGCGTGACTACTTGGTGGTGGACATCTGCGATGCCGGATTGGAACGCGGGTTGTAGCGGACGCAGGGGATAGGAAATGGATAGGGCCGCCGCCACCGTCAACCAATGCGAGTGAGGGACACGAGAGAACGCCGATACCTGCACATTGCTCCCCCTGGCGTAGCCCATTGACCCCAGTGCTGACGTCTTCCACGGCCGTGATGAACATATGCTCGAATTCGGATCCAAGTACAAGGAGGATGGTGCATCCCTGCTCGGGAGACATGGACTCTTTATCCTACGCCACATCCCCGTGTCAGCGGATACAACGGTATTGACGCGCACCGACGACCGCGAGGGAACCCATTGAAGCGCGATAATTAACACGTAGATGGCCATCGGATGACTTGGGAGGGATGGACTAAGGATGCTAGAGGGTCACACAGGCGGAGAGGGGAGTATCAACGACCAATACACAACGTAAGACTACCTCTTTCATTTGTCTTATAGCCGTGCTCACTGTACCAAGTTCAACAGGAACCGGCCAGCCGGACGCCGAAAGAGACGTCGCCTGATCTATCGGAAAGCACGCTTGTGTTCCTGCCGCGGACGCAACCAAGCGCGCTCCTATGGGTCGTACTTACTACAAGAATACGCGATGCGGGATAGCCGTCGACGCGTGGGCGCTCCCCTTGACGGCTCATAAGCGCTCGTCATGCCCAGCCACCAATTTCGCGTCCGACCTTTGTAGAGCGGACTTACTGTCAATCCTTTACCGTGAACCCGAGACACTTCACCTCGGGGAGATCGGGGCACTAAGTAAGTAAGTAAGTAAGTAAGTAAGTTCCACCCGTTGCGTCCTATCAACGCTGGGCGTTTTCAGGACCGTATCGCGCGTGCTGCCACGCGCTGCCTGACAACCTGTGTGTCCGAGGCGCCGAATGCACTTTCTTCCTTACGCTCAAACGGTCTAGCACGGACAGGCAGGCCGGGGTCGCCGCACTTCCTTCCAGGAACGTGTGACACTGTATAGGCTTCGAACACCGAACTGAGTTGGATACCTCTCGCATAC